TCCACAACATCACTGCTGCAACACCAGAGAGGATGTGGGTCCTTCAGACTCCATCACAGCACACAACAGTGTGTCAAAACTCACCAGAAAGGCCGCGGAGAAACCACACTACTCAGTCCACTTGGAGTTAAATTCAACATGATACTACAAACCGGTAACCCGGGGCATAGAATCAAAGGAAGGCTACTGCCTAAGAAGACTCTCAGATAAACACAAAAGAGAGTGGTTTACCAACAAATGCAAAAATATCAACATAAAAATGTGAGAAATATGAAATATAGACAACATGACTCTTCTAAATTTTCTTCAATCTCTAGTAATTGATTCCAACTTCAGTAGATGAAATGCTGAACAAGAAAGTAGAAGTAATATTTTACCTGATCAATCAATTCAAAAAGAATACAAAAAACCCAGCTGAGTTAAGCAAGTGCACATATGAATGAGCAATTCAATAAAGAGAGACTCTGAAAAAGATCCAAACAGAAATCATAGAAATCAGGAATCCAATCAGAAGTCAAATTAAAAATTCAGTTGAAAGTCTTGCCATTTGACTCAATCTATCAGAAGAAGAAACAGCTAGGCTTAGAGACAGGTGTGATGACTTATTACACTTATCCAGTAATAAGAGAATGATTAGAAAGTCTAAGAAATGGTTAAATGGCCAAATATGTGACTAATATAGAAGCAAAATTACAGGCTAAAAGCATATAAATCTATTCACTCAAATAATAGCATGAATTTCCCAAATCTGTGAAAACATATAGACATCCAGATACAGGAGACATTTAGATCTCCAAATAAACATGATCAGATGAGAAACCTCTACGTCACACAATGATTAAATTGCCAGGAATGCAGAACAAAGGAAGAATATTAGGAGGTGTAAAAAAGTAGCAAGACCCTTAAGGAGACAAATTCATCAGACAAAAGATTTCTCAAAAGAAATTCTGAAGGTTAGGAGGGCAGAGAATGATATATTTCAAGCCGTGGAAGAAGGTAACTGCCAGCCTAGATTACAATCTGAAGCAAAATTATCCTTGAAAATCAAAGGAGAAAGGAAGACTGCCCTGTACAACCCTAAGCTAAAGGAACTCATGACCCCAAACCAGCTTTGCAGAAAATACTCAAGAAAGTCCTATGCACAAAAAAGAAGCCAGATGACATGAATATGAGAGCACAGAAAAAAGAATGAACCTCGCTAGAAGAGTATGTAAACAAATGTGAGTTAGGAAAGGGCCAAATGTCATTAGTTAAATAATCATAAAGCCTCTGAGACGAATAAGAGAGAAAGAAGTGGGCATAGATTGCTGTAACAAGTAGAATAAAAACAACGAAATGACCAGGAATGAGTATATAAATTTTAATAATTATCATGAACATAAATGACCTTAATTTTTCAATGAAAGGACACAGACTTTTCATTGAAAAAAACTGGCTGAGTGGATCCAAAAACAAGACCCAACAATCTATTGCCAGCAAGAAACTTCATTAGAAAAAGATATACATAGACTAACAGGGGAGGGATGGAAATGATATTAAACTGACTATAGAAGCTGATAAGAGTGGTCATACTCATGTCCTACCTAACAGACATCAAGCCAAAATCAGGAGGTAAAGTCACTGTGATGGGTGACTGTGGTGTCAACTTGGAGAAAAAACACCAAGCTGATTGGCACAGTGTAGTTCCTGTGTGTGGCACCAATCAATAGGCTTGTGGCCTGGATGGAATAAAAAGGGAAAGAAGAGATTTTCCTTTCTGCTTCTTTGGAGAACTCCAGTCTTCACCATCGCTTTTGGACGTTCATCCTCAGACTTCCTGTGCAGGTACTTGGCTTCCTGATATGGACTCACACGGGACTCTGCTGTGAGCTCCCAGCCTTCAACTTCTGACCGCATCCTGCAGATATCCAGCACACTCAGTCCCTCTTGCAGCCTTCCACTCCAACTCTGCAGGCAGCCACTGTGCATCTAACTTGTAAATCCATATGTATCTTATATTAAATCTGTTCATCTAGTGAATACTGGATGATACTGAAGCTACATCATTATAACAAAACAACCCACCATGGAGGTATAATGACTGTAATTATGCATGCACTGGACAGCTGAACATCCAACCGTATAAAACAAGCAGAACTGACACAAAGGGACAGAGAGACCTCAATACAATAATAGAGGGAGAGTTTATTATAACATTCACAACAGTAAACACACTATTCAGAGAAAATTCAAATCCATAGCCTAGACCACATTTTTTCCTTTTTTTTTATTAGTACATGCTTGCAATTCATGCAGTTTGCAATCATCTTGGGTAGTGGTTACACGTACATATCAGAGCTTCCTTCTCTTTTTTAAAAGTCCCTTCCTCTACTCCTCTTCTCTGCACTGGTTCGCCCAGCCTCTTTTTCACACTTGTTGATATTCCTTATCTTAGCTCATGTTATGGTGAATAGTGGTCACAATAATCGGGGTTAGTAGGTTACTGTGCATGGCATAGCTTTGTTCCTCTCATTCCCCTCCTCCTCCTCACCTCTCTTGTACCCTTGGGTCACTTCCCTGTTGCAAGAGATCCACTGCCTTAATCCACTCCATCCATCCTTTGTCGTTTTCTTTATTTGTACTTTGTCTCATTCAATGAGCAGTATCATACGGTATTTAAGCTTGTGTATCTGATTTATTCCTCTCACAGTTATATATTCCAGGTAGTCTATTTTCCTGTAAATGTCTCAAATATGTCATCCTTTATAGCTGGGTAGTATCCCATTTTACATGGATACCATAGTGTCTTTATCCAGTCATCTGCTGATGGGTTTTCAGGCTGCTTCCAGGATTTAGCTATTAAGAGCTGTGTTGCTATAAACATCGGTATGCGTGTATCACTGTAGTATGATAATCTAAGCCCTCTGGGGGATTGTTGGGTCATATAGAATTTCTAAATTCAGCTCTTGAAGAAACCTCCAGAATGATATCCATAATAGTTGTACTATACATTCCCACCAGCAATGCTGGGATTTGTTATTATTTGATTTCCTAGTGATTGCCATTCTTTCTAGCATAAGATAGAATCTCAGGGTTTCAATATCAGACTGAATAGCAAAAAATAGAAATAATTTCCTCTAAAATCAGGAATGAGGTCCCAGTCTCACTAACCTCATTCACTACAATACTCAAAATTTTAATCAGATCAGCCAGGCAAGAAAAAGAAATAAAATGCATACAAATGTAACAGGAAGAAGCCAAATATCTTTGTTGGCAAATGGTATGATTTTTACATTTAAAATACCCTAAAAATTCCACCAAACTCATAGAACTGACTTGTAAAAATTCAGCAAAGCATCAAAACACAAAATCAGCGTACAAAAATGCAGAGCTTTTATAGATGTCAATGATGAACTGACTGAGAAAAGCATCATTAGAACCACTCCATTCACAAGAGCCTTAAAATAAATAAATAAACAAATGAATCACAGGCATGAGAATGAACCTAAAACAGAGAGTGAAGGACCTCGGCTTGCAGATCATAAGGAAATAGAGAAAGTAACTGACGAGGACACCGGGAGAGACAGACCCCTCTGGTACCCATGAATTGGAAGAACTAACACTGCTGTGCTAGCCTTGCTGACCAGTGCCGTCCACACAGTCAGTGCAGTCTCCAAATATCAATGTCGTTTTTCACAAAACTAGAAAAATAATTCCAAAATTTATATGGAACTGCACAAAACATTCTAATCAGCAAAAGTAACTCTCAGGAAAAGGAGCCACCCATCACCTGATTTGAACTCAGTACCTGGTTTTAAAATATTCTTCAGAGCCACAGTTATACAAAGAGGGAGCTCTTGTGATCAAACACAGACCACAGAACAATGCAAGAAAGTAGAGGAGACAGAAATGAACCCTCCTATAAAGGGAAACATTTCTGCCTACCCAGTCTCTGCACGACTTTCCTTTAATGCAGGCAGGAGCTGAAAGGTTCCCAGAGACTTGGGTTCCACTTCCTGCAGTGCCGGAGGAAGTGTCCCTATCTCTCTGCACTGCAGCTTCCGGTCTGTGCAGTCACAGTGGGGATTCCCACTGCGCACAGACCGTCCTGAAAACTGGATGGGACACAGTCCAAGGGCGTTTCTATTGCTGTACTTTGGTGGCTACACACACCTGCCCTCAGTGTGTACGGGACCTGTCTGAACCACGGCTGCATTTGTCTCAGAGGCCCCTGCTGTCCACCTCGACTATGTGCCATGAGAGGGCTCTGCTGTGGAAATAAAGTTTGATAACCACCTGTGGATCCAAAATTTACATCAGAAGATGAAACCAAGGCCCAAGAAAGAACGACAACTGACACATGATGACTCGGAAAATTGCTACCAGAGCTGGGAGTAAGATTCAAAACAAAAGAGAATGAAGCTGAGCCCGGAGGCAAGCTCTCCGCTGTGTGCCACTGTGCCTGTGACACTAAAGTGTGTTGTCCCCAGAGAGGCCCAAAGACACAAACCTGGGAAAGTGTGTTTCGATGGTCTTGTTTTCCAGGCTCTCCCTGGAGACCTTGGATCTCTGCGGTGCATTGCTCCGATAGATTCTGGCTGTGATTGTCCCAGGGTGGGAGCAGCCCAGAAGCCTGGGAGCAGAAACCTGACTGCTTCATAAACACTGTAGCAGTGTCCCTGTAAGCAGTGCAGGGTCCCAGGCCAGGGCCCACACCAGTTCCCCGCACTCGGGCTGTCTTCGCCAGGTCCTGCAACTGGAAAGTCAGCAGCAGTGTAGCTGCAGATGCAGAAGGTGAGGCTGGCAGTGGCTGGGGCTGGGCCGGGCAGTGTCTCTGAAAGCAGGGGATTAGACATGGGGTCCAGCAGGGCAAGGGCTCCAGGCTAGCCTTGCTCACACCTCTTCTTTCTGGGATCTCCTGGAAGCCCCAGCAGGTCACTCTAGAGACTCCTGGAGGGGGAAGATACAGATGCTCTGACCATGGAACGAAAGCCACCTGCCTGTGGGTAAGGACGATCCTCATGTCCCTTGTGGTCCTGCTCTCCACGGTGCCCTTGGTCAGTGCAGCCCAGACTGCTGGCTCCCTGCCCACCATCAGACCCTCAGATGTCTTCTCCACGGAAGGAGATGTGCTCATCGGGGCTGTGACCCCCATGCATGCAGTGATGCACCAGACTCACGTCAGTTTCCAGCAGCCTCCAGAGCAGCCACTGTGTACACAGTAGGTCCTGTCCTCAGCCCCTGGGGGGAGGGGGGAGGGAGCAGCCTTCCTGGTCACTGTAGGCAGCTGGGGACCCTATGTCCTCTCACCCACTCGCTAGGGATGCCTGGCAGGGAGCTCTTGGGCAGTGCAGCTGCTCTCTTCGTGAGGTCCTTTTCAGTCCTCTAAAGGTGTGAGAGACCAGGTTCAGGCCAGCTGTCTCCAGCCACTGAGGAGACAAAGCCAAGTCCCTTTCACTCTCTGGGCATCACAGAGTCACCACTCCTTGACTCTTGTGGAGGCCAGAGCTCAGCAGCCTGAGCCCAGGAGATTTCAGCATCACAGCAGCAATATCTGTGGTGAGATGTGGCTAAGGGGGTGACAGGCATGGGGAAGACACCCTCTGGCTTGTCCTACCCAAATTGGTCACCCATGAGTCCAGCTGTCAGGAACATCTGGAATGTCTCCCAGGCAAAGCCAACTTCAATCAGATGCCAACTTGTGACTGGCAGGTCCTATTCAGCAATATGCCCAGGGAGACGGCCGCAGGTCCCTGGGTCATCCACCCACATCTGTCTGTCTTCCTCCTGCCAATAGCAGTCCTATCCAACAGTGGCCACTCTCCATGGCCAGTGTGTATATATCTGTCTCTCTGAAGTGCCCACTTTCCTCTCTAAAAAGAGGCACGTCAGTGCGTGAACCCCTCTCCCTCCTATACTCTCAGCCTTGCTCTTCCCAGGGAGAGGTTCACCAGGGCTGCTGGAGGCTCTTCCTAAGAATGTTACCGACCTATAGCGATACCCCCTGTCCTATCTGCCTTCTCAGATTCAAAAGCCACTTCTTCCTGAATGCTCTGGGCCTCCTCTTTGCTGTGGCTGAGTCTCGGGAGGACCCCAGCTTCCTCCCAAACATCACTGTGGGGCTGCAGATCCATGACTCCTGCATCTCAGGGACCCAGGCCCTGCGCAGCACCCTGGCTCTGCTGTCCAACCAGCTACGGCCCACGCCCAACTTCAGCTGTGGTCCCCAGCGCCTGCTCCTCGGGGTGATTGGAGGCATGACCTCGCCAGAGTCACAGCCCATGGCTGAGCTTCTGTCCGTGTACAGAGTCCCACAGGTGAGAAAGATCCCTGGAGAGAGAAGTCACTCACATAAACATGTGCCTAGTTACAGTGGGGTCAGCTCCCAATAAACTCATCACAAACTGAAGCCACCCAAGGTGACAGCCCATTCCTCACGCCTGACCTGCCCAGTGGCCTCACTAGTGACATGGCTGCTGTGGTCTCGGTGAGGACCCTCAAGAGCACGTGGCTGACCCACAGCCGCAGCTGATGCTGCCCAGGCTCACAAGAAAACCTTGCTCAGTTCACCACTAGCCCAGGAAAAGAGCAAACCTCAAAAATTTAAGAATGGTTTCTACCAAGTGCCTTTCTCCTTCATAGCTTTGTAAAGTTGCAAAACCCTAGGACAGACCATCATAATTCTGGGATTGCCCTTCTCAGTGCACGAGTACTAGGGCAACCTGGTAAAAAGAGCAAGCTTATCCCCTTACAAAGGTCACCTCCCTGTGTGGAGGTTTTTCCCTCCTGCAGAATCAGAAGCGGGCAGGGGACCACCTGGGTGCTTTCCTGGTGCTCACCATAGCCTGGTGCTGATCCACGGTGACATTATCCTGAGTCTGAAAGAAAATTACATGAAAGTGATTCAGGGGGCACACATACAATGTGAGGTCACCACCCCCTTAAACAGTGGATTCATTTCCCAGAAAATATTTGTGGCAAAATAAAAAATTGATGCACTTGAACCAAGCTCCCCTCCTGCTCCCGTGATTTGCTGAGCAGCTGAGACGCACGCTGCTGCTGACCCTAGAGACCCCCACAGTCCGGCAGTCCAGGAAGCAGGCACAGTCTTCCACTTGGGCTGGGAGGATCCCCTTTTGCTCTCTCCCCTAACCTTGTCAGAAACTTGGGATGTTGTACAAATAGCAAGGCACAAGGCTCGATCTCTTGGTGCATCAATGGAAACAGCCTAAGTTGACTTCTGTCAGATCTTCAGTACCAACCAATTAGGCCAAGAAGCAGCACCTAGCAAATTATTTCTATGTGGAGAACCGTTATTTCTTTTCTCCTGCACCCCTAAGAGGAAAGTATATGATGATCTAATGGAGGTCTTTAAAACTCACTCCTCCAGCATTTGAGAGACTGAGGCAGGAGGATCATTTGCAAGTTCGAGACCAGCCTGGGCTACAAAGTGAACCCAAGGCCGGCCTGAACTGCATAGCGAGAACCTGTCTCAAAAAGAAATAATAATAATAATAATACTAAATTTTTGTTATTGAAAATAATGATGGGCCTAAAAAATAGCTCAGTAGTATAGCACCAGTCTGGCAAGCACAAAGTCCTGAGTCGAAATCCATGCACAAAAAGAAAGAAAGAAAGAAAGAAAGAAAGAAAGAAAGAAAGAAAGAAAGAAAGAAAGAAAGGAAGGAAGAAAGGAAGAAAGAAAAAAAGAAAGAAAGAAAGAAAGGAAGGAAGGAAGGATAATAGTGTATGCTGAATTATCAATTATTTTCCTTTCTGTATCTCTTTTAAACAGCAAACTGAGACTTTTGTTTTATCAAGTTCTGGACTGCCTATAGTAGTCAAAATACACCAGCCACCCTGCAGCAGGAGGGCTCAGCCCTCTCCTCTTTGCCTTTGAAAAGGAGATGCTGAGGAGGGGAGCAGGCATTAAAGTGAGACTCTTACCAGGAGCCTTTTTCCAGGAAGATAAGGGCGCAGAGTGCAGGGCACTGTGGCAGGGAGCTGCAGGAGGAGCAGGAGAGGCCACCTGCAGAGCTGTGCCTTCCACAGAGAAGCCTCCACCGCCAGCCAGCCCGGGGCAGAGCATGGTGCACCAACTTCACTGTCCTGCTGGATGCCTCCGGAGGCTCCTGGCAGGAGAAACAGGGTAGGGAGTTGCCAGAGATCAGACTGCTGGGGCCCCCACCACAGAGGGGGTGCAGAATCCCCCTGCATGGGGAGGCAGGAAACACGGCACATGCTTCTCACTGGAGAGGACACCAGTGCCACACTGCTGCCCCCGCCTCAGGGTCTCCGGTTCCTCTGCTGGCTCACAGGTCTCCTCCTGATCCTGCTGCCTCACCGCTTCCTCCTGATCATGAAAGACTACAACACTGGAAGTAATATAGAGCATTTTATTAGTTTTGTGCTTTTGTGCATTGTCTCTGATTATGCTCTATTTCAGTCTTTCTCCTTTTGTCTTTTTCTGGACTTTCCTCATTTGATTCATTTTCATCTTGCTCAATGTTTCCTTCTGCTGTGCTGGAAGCTCTGCCTGCTGTTTTTATCTTCTATGCTTAGTTAAAGTTTTAACTCACATGATTCTTCATCCTTCAAGGATGCTGACAAGGATGCACTGCAAAGACAAAACCCTTAGTCCTTCTAAGACTCTGCTTCTCCAGTGGAAAGAGTAAACCTTGCCATGCAGTCTGGAAGAGAGGGCCTCAGCTCCTCAGGTCTCACTGAAGGCGCTAAGGAGAACATAGATAGAGAGTTTGTCAGAGGCCAGGAAAATGATGACTAAAATGCTAGGGAGAGCTAGGAGGGTTCCCAGGGCCAGCGAGGCACGGAGAATCCCAGGGGACTGCGCCTGGGACAGCAGTGTGCAACTCCCTTCCTCTCCCCAGATCAGCCACGGATCCCAGCACCCCCAGTTCTCCAACCACCACCGGTTCCCGTCCTTCCTGCGCACAGTGCCCAGCAGCGCCCACCAGCCCTGGCTCCTGGCCAGGCTCCTGGACCATTTCAAATGGACCTGGGTGGGCCTGGTGGGTTCTGACAACGGCAACTTTGAGCAGCTGGACCAGCAGCTGCGGGCACTGGTGCAGGCCCAGGGCGGCTGTGTGGCCTTCTCAAGCAAGATTTCCGGTCCAAACAGCAGCATCCAAAGAGCGGCCACACACATCACCTCGACGCCCACTGCCCGGGTGATCATCTGCGACTGCTACCACTTTCACTTCCAACTCTTGGCTGAAGCCCTGGAGGACTGGGTGGTTGGAAGGACCTGGGTCTTCTCCACTTCCTTCCTCTACAGCCCTTCCGTGCTGGACCCCAGGGCCCAGCGTCTGCTGGATGGCAGCCTGAACCTGGCCATCTCCGCTGGGACCATGCCTGGCCTGCAGGGCTTCCTGCTGGCTCTGCGCCCAGCCGCACACCCTGACAGCAGTCTGCTGAGGAAGCTGTGGGAGCAGCTGCATGAATGCAGGTGGCCTGGCCTCGAGGCTTTCCCCCAAAGCTCTAGGGAAGGGGCTCCAATGTGCACGGGTCTGGAGAACATGACTGTTGCCCACCTGGCCCCCTTCCGACTTTCCGATCTCAGCGCCACCTACCAAGCCTATCTGGCTGCCCGAGCCCTGCTGGTCGCCTATCAGACCCTGACCTCTTGCTCTGCAGGTGAAGGACCATTTGTGGGAGGCACATGTGCCCAGGCACAGGCTGCCAGGCCCTGGCAGGTGAGTGGACGGGAAGCCCAGCACCGCGAGGTGGCTCAGTGTAGCAGAAAGGCCTGTGGCTAAGGGAAGGAGCTGAATTTAGAGCTGCAAGGTCTGGGGGCTAGGCCTACAATGAGATTTGCAAGGGACCCCTCACCTGCCTCCCTGAGGATTGGCCCCTGCTCTGTTGAGTGAGTAGAGCAGCCTTTGCTCTTGGGTTCTTATGCGGAAAGTGGCAGGGAGTGTGTGTGGTGAGGAGTGTGTGTAGCTAGTGACAGCGCTGTCCTGGGACTGAAATTCCCTGACAGTAACATCGGCAGTGGGAACACTGACAAGTTTGAGAGGGCACTGACCTAGCCCAAAGCAGAAGGAGCACAGAAACAGGAGGCGGAACCTGACGGCAGCCCAGCTGTCCCCAGGGCTGGGACACTGTGTGCAGAAAGGAGCTTCAGAGCTGTGTATACGGCCACAAGGCTGAGGACAGTGAATCTGCAGTGTGGACCTGGACCCCTTCTCGTCCACCGGTGCTTCTCCTGCTGCTCAGCCCAGGGCCCACAGCTCACTGTCCCCTCCTGAGCTCTCACAGGTGACCCCGGAACCGTCTCAGAGAGATGGGAGACACATTGAGAAGGCAAAGGCCTCAGCCAGCAGCGTCAACAAAACAGCCTGGGGTTTGTAGCCAGGAGAGTAGGGCCTGAGCCTTTTGTGTTCCTAACCCAATGTGGGGTTCAAGGCCAGTTTGGGCCCCTCCGAACATGAGGTGCCCATGCACATGAACTGGGTAGGGCCTCCCTTGGCTTTTCAGAGGCTCTAAGTGTGGCAGTGCTGACCCAAGACTGTGTTTGGTCTGCAGAGCTTGAGGGTCCCATGGAGGGAGCTGAGGGCGCCCTGCTCTAGGACAGTCATTCTGACCCCTGCAGGCCAGGGGTGGGGTTCTTGACCCTCCGTTGGGCCCACCAAGCAGAGCTGCTCTGTTTTCCCTGCCTAGTAGATTGGAATCCAACACAAAATTTTGGGAATGGTGGCACATGCCTGAAATCCTGACACTCTCTGAGCCTAAGGAAGAAGGGTCACAAATTTGAGCCCATCCCGGACAATTTAGTAAGCCCCTGCCTGATTTAACATAAAAGTAGCCCAGAACGTAGCTCAGTGTGAAGGCCTAGGGTCCCATACCTGTATGCCAAAAAAATAAAAATTAAAAAGGACATTGACATAAAAATTTTATGTGAAAACAAAAACTTTTTCAAAGTAGCAATTACAGGACTAGGTCACACCACTGATTCCTACGTAATGAGACAGATAAGAAGGACTTTAGATTTTCAAACAACCCAGCCTAGACCTAATGTTCACCCCCACGGCAAAGGACAAAAGCAGCCCTTGGGGAACCGTGAGCCTGTGAACATGGCTGTGCTCCAAGAAAGCTTTACAGGCGCTATACTTTGAATATTGTTTTGCCATCTGTGATAATACACTATTCTTCCTTCAGTCTTTTGAACTAGTTACAAAACTAGAAGCCATTGTCAATTCAGTAACAGGTGGCAGCCCAGGTTTGGCTGCAGGCAGTCTGTGGTCTATAAGATTCTAGTAGAGGGAAGGCGAGGGTGCCAGCTTTCTGTTCATGACCTCTGTAAGACACCTCAGGACAGATGCAAAGGGTCAAGCTGGAACAGCCAGACTCGCCTCCTCCTGCCGGTGACCTCCACTGGTAAGGATTCAGGAGTTATGCAAGCTGTTTTTAAGCTATTTTTGGTTGAAACTGGCCATGCTGGGCTATTTATTCAATAGAAAACTGAAAAATCCAAGCTTCTTGTCCTTCTAGTTATTCAGACATTAAGCAGCTCAACACTGCAAATATCCAAGCAACATTACAGAAAGAAAGTTAGAAAAATTCTTCTGCTATTAAACAAGGTTTCGCCTGGGAGTGCAGCCCCATGGTAGAGAGCTTGAGGGGCGTGGGCGGGCCCTGGGCTCAGTCCTGCACTCACTAAAGAAGGTTGTCTTGATCCCTCTGTGCTGCTGGAATAGAATGAGGTTGGATTATTTACAAATGACAGAAGTCAGGAAACAAGGAGGTTTAAGATTAAGACAGCACTATCCAGTGCATGCTGGGCCTTTCTGCTGCCCCCAGGCTGAGGCAGAGGGTTGGGCAGTTCCCTTAGCTCCCTCCAGCCCTTGCAGGGGTGAGAGAAGCACCAGCATGGTCATGACACCCCGGTCCCCTGGCTTCATCCGTTTTCAAAAGGAGCCCCTCCTAACACCGACCTGAGAGAGAAAGTTTCAGCGAGAAATTGGAAGGACATGTGTTCAGAGCATTGCAGAACCAGGCATGAGCTCTTTAGGATAGGTTTGAAGAAAATGTGTCCCTATTTACAGGATGTGTTTTCTTTAAGGCTGTAAGATAAAAAGAGGTAGCACACATCAAGGGTCTGTGCCAGATGAAATGCTGAACCCCTCATATGTGTTAATCTTTGAGATGATTCCAGGCGTGGACCCCTTTAAACATGCAAGAAGCTCAGGAGGTGGCACAGGATCTGCAAGGTCCCCCCTGCTAGTTCAGGATGACGGTAGGGGTACACCTGGCTCCAGGGTCTGTCTGGCTCCATACCACTGTATCTCGAAGAATCCCGGAAGTCCTTCAGAGTTCCAGATCCCACAGGCCCCAGCTGAGTGATTCACTCATGATTCCTCCTGTGGTCTTACTGGACTCTGCTAGCCTAATCCCACAAACAGATTTCTATGCTGCCAGTGTGTACTGAGCAATGTCCACGGACCCGCAAGTAGAAAATGTACAAGTGTGCTTGCCCTCGGTGTGTTTGCACTCTACTTGGGAAGATCAGTGAATAATCATAGAAACCAAGGACACTATTAGAGGAAGTGGCAGCAGGTGAAAGGGAAAATCACACAGCTGCTCCAGTAGAATCAGAGGTTGGACAGGAAATGGGCACAGTACTACAAATAACTTTAAAGTCCTCCTTAAACAGTTCCACATTTCAGGAAAAGATCACAACTCTACCTGATGGTATTATTCAAGTCCTTCTCATGCTCTCCTGAGTGTTCAAAGGTCCAGAAGCACTCACTCTCATGTGTGGGGGTTCTTGGGGGACACTTTGCCTCTTGCCCTTTTCCCACTATTCTTCCCTGCTTTAGTGGGGTCTGGTCATACTGAGTAATATATGTCCTACAGTGAATGCCATGATGACACATGCAGGGTGCCTAATGATGACCACATTCACACTATCACGGCCATCACCATCCTACTCACATTTGCACAGTTTATTTGAGGACCCTTGAAGCCTGTTCCCTTGGAATTTGCAGGTGAATAATAAAGGACTATTAACTCCAGTCTTCATATGGGGATTGGATCTAGTACTAATGCTGGGCATTAGGGCACAATGGGGAGATGTTGATTAAAAACTCCTTTTGTACTGATCCCGAAAATGGAATGATGAAAGTCCTTGTTGATAGTCACAAATCTAAAGTACCCCAGGTGTGAAATCTGGGTTACCCTGAAAATCTCTCAGACTGTATCTGCTATTAATTTCTTTTTAATTCTGTACCAGCCACCCTGCTTGGTGCTTTGAAGGCAGGACAGAGTATTGGATCCTGGGTGCTGGTCATAGCTGGCACAAAGAAACACACAGCACAGTCTTCATGCGTGGATAGTGGATAATTCCATAGGTCCTTGTCCACTGAGCAGCCTTCTTGTGAGTCTGTTTGAGACAGGAACTAATGCTTCCAGACTTCTCTTGCCTTGAGCTGTGCCCGCACACAGGGTACAGGAATAGAGCAGAGCTCTTCTCTCACTAACTGTGCAGACGAGATGCCTCCTTCCTGCCCCAGAAGATGTGCAGAGCACCCGCAGCAGGGAGGCTGCATGCCCTCCCAGGCTCAGCTCCTCACCTGGTCCTCCCCTTTCTGTCCCCCTCAGCTGCTCTACTACACACAAAACGTCCGCTTCACCACCAGCGCCCAGGAAGAGATTTTCTTCACTAGAGAAAGGGAGATGCTGACGACCTTCGACATCCAGAATATCAAGGTCCTTGAGGCACAGAGGGGACAGAAGGGCACAGTGGGACATTTTAACTTCAGGGCACCCGCCGGGAAAGAGCTAGAGATCCAGGAAGCAGCTGTCACCTGGGCGGGAGGAGGCTCCCAGGTGAGATCCCAGAGCCCCTCATGTACCCTAGCTAATGGTGGGCTTTGCTGCATGGATCTGACGTGGTTAAGAGGAGGGCAGGAGGCCAGTACACCTCTGAGGGTCTTCGGGAAAGGAGGCTTCTGAACAGCGCTGCCCGGCTCCAACAGTGCAGAAGCCGCTAAAGACAAAGGTAGTGACAAGAGGACAGCAGATGGTGGGTAATCCTCTATTCAGGTTCACCCCGAGGCACTCCATGCCTACCAGGAGTTGCCATCTTTTTATCTTTCTGGCCCTAGGCAAAGAAACGCTGAGCTTATATTAGACAACAGAAAATAACCCATGAGACCCCACTGGTCCTGTCCAGGACCCCTTGGACTCTAATGTCACTGGATGGGGGAATTCTAACCGAGGGGGAGTTGCATCTCAGCGGGCAGGTCCTTTCTGCACTTCTCTCCACCCCACCCAGGTGGGGGTGCATGCTCCCTCTGTGAGCAACCCCAGCACATCTGGAATAAGGGGAAACAGTGGCTCTCTCCAGTATGGGGCTTTTCCATTCCCATACTCTCCTCTCACCACATCATGGCTGTCTTTCCCTATTCCCACATCTATCATACTCAGTGTCCAAATTTCTACACCTTGGGATGGGAAAGGAGGTGGCTAGTGAGGACACTGAGGAGGAATCAATGTACTGGCTCTGCAGTCACCCCTGGGTGCTGAGGTCCTCACTCGGGACCATGTTGGGCACCCTGTAATGGGTACTGCTCTTCGAGGTCACTGTCATTCCCCACATCCCAGAACCCTTCCTTTAGAATGTGTAGGAAAATTCACACTGCAGTCAGGATACAAACTCAGTGGTTCCCATGTAAGGGTGGTTTTGCCTCTAAAGGGACAATGATTGTCATCTTTGGTTGTCATGACTTGGAGAAGGCCATTTGGTCTCCAAGGAGGAGATGCCAGGGACGCTGCTAAGCACCCTACAATGCCCGGTTCAGCCTCTACCACAAAGGACACTCGGGCTCAGTGTCAGTGATGCTGAGGTCGGGAAACTGGGCTCCAGAAACCCCGCTGTGCTGCTGAGGCTCTTTGCTTGTGACTCACTGTGCTGGGCTCAGCTCTGACAGTGCTCGGGAAAATGAAATAAATATCAGTGTGTTTGCAGAACTGGGTTTGAAGGACACACTCCCCAGGTAATATTATCCCCGCACATCCATTGGTTTTGGCCACTGCTTCATCTCAAGTTTCACATCGTCTTCAAAACATATATCACTACTGTCCAGCTCCACTGGAGACAAACTGAAGCAGAAAGGGGAAATGCAGTCTCTACTCCCACAAGTGCAGACCTAGAATCTAACCAAGTCTATCATCTCCACCCAGGAAGTCTCCATGTGCCCAACAAGCTGGGGAGTCAGAAAGGGCTCACTTTTACCCAGATTCCCCAACACTCTGTAGAGGGAATGAGACAGGTCATTAACTATTTGGATGAGAGATGGAGGGAAGGGGAAAGGGAAAGAGAAAGAACAAACCAAAAATGGAAGGGGAAAAGGAGGGGGAAGGTGCAAGGGAAGAAGGCAAAGAGAGGTTAATTTAAAACAAAGAATGGGAGAAAACAAGAAAAGAAGGACTCAGTACCAGAGAGTTCACCGCTCTACTCCCTCCCAACCCTGAGCGCTGATGCTACTCAGCTTCCCAGCAGCCCCCAGCCCTCTCTCCTCCCCCGTGCAGGTCCCTTCCTCGGTCTGCAATGAAAAGTGCCCTGTGGGGACCAGGAAGTCAGCCCTGCACGAGAAGTCAAAATGCTGCTACGAATGCCTGCCCTGCCCCAGAGGGGAGATCGCCCCGGCACCAGGTAAGGGGGGCTGGACCCTGGCCAGAGGGTGGCCGGCCAGCAGCCAAGGACTGCCGTATATAGAAGATCAGTTCACAAGCAGGGGAGGGTCCTTTAATGAGAACAAGTCCAGCAATGTCCATGTGCCCTCTCCACACGCTTCACTGAAACCATTTAAGACAATTGTGTTCATTTTTTCTTCCATCAGCAGTGAATTTCCCCAAATCCTGTGTCTAGTTTAACATCTGGCTCCCAATAGGAATTACATACACGTTCTTTTAAAATCCCCCCTAAATCCTTCTAAAAAAGAGGAGGAGGAGGAAGCAGAAGCAGTAGCAGAAACAGATGCAGAAGAAGAAGAGAAGAAGAAAAGAAGAAGAAGAAGAAGAAGAAGAAGAAGAAGAAGAAGAAGAAGAAGAAGAAGAAGAAGAAGAAGAAGAAGAGGAAGAAGAGAAGGGTGTTTTCCTTTTATGATATAGAATTTCTACACCATAAGAGTCGCCTGCACTTCAGTGATTTCACTGCGGTTTCTAGAGTGACGCAGCCTCTCCCACAACCCAATCCTAAAGCTTTCCATCATCCCACCCAAGATTCCCGTGGGCCCTGTGCCCTCAGCCTTTTCTTGCATCACCACTGCACCTTTTCCTGCCTCCATAAACTGGCAGTTTCTGGACATTTCCTGGAAGCAGGTCCATAACATATGTGGTGGCTCCTGTTTTCATTATTATATGGTTAGTATTAATGCCTATTCTTTGGTGGAATTCACTGTGACACACACCCGTGCCCTGACCCCGACCCTCCACTCTTCCTGGACGCACCATCTCTCCCTGCCTTCCTCCCCTCCCCCACTGACTCCTTACCCATCCCTCAAAGCCCTTGTTAATTTCTCTCAGTGCTTCCACACCTTTACATGTCCCTTCTCTAGTGACCACTTCTGTTCCATGCCTCTATGAGGCTAACTTCATTGATTTCTGTGCACGAGTGAGGACATGTGGGGTTTGTCTTTCTGTGGCTCATGTGTTTCACTCAACGAAATGTTCTGCACTTCCTTCTGTGTTCCCACAAACAACAAGATCTCATCTCTTGATGGCTGAGTAGTGTCCTATGACACATCAGTGCTACATTTCCTTTATCCATCCAACCACTGCAGGACATCAGGGCCAACTCCATAGTTGGGTGGCTGTGAATAGTGTCACCAAGCCAAAGGGGTGGGTATATTTTGAGTATAATATTTCACCTCCTTTGGGTGCACATCCAGTAGTAGAATGGCTGGAATAGAGCAGTTTTCTCTTTCATTTTTTTAAGGAGTCCCCTTCTATTCCCCATCATGCCCATTTGCATCCCTCCCAAGAGTGTATGACTTTGAGAAATGCCTCCTTAACCCATTTGGGCACTGGATTCTCCATCTTTTGGTCTTCATGTGCTTGATTTCCTTGTATATCTCAGGCTCTTATCTGATACATGACTCATCCATATACTTATGATTTTTACTCTTCTTCATCTTCTTCTGGTTGATGCATAATTTCCATCCATGATATTCTGAGATGGTGCCTGACAGGATTTAAATGTTTTTAAATATCTTAAGACCAGCATTTTACAGGGTTCCACAGTCCCAAAATTGGAGGTTGATGAGGAGCTCTTCCTAGATTCCGGGGTCAAACAGGTGAGAGACAGGTTTATGGCCATGGCAACTGCTGTCCTGAAGTTGCAGGGCATGGAGGGGCTGTGTTCCACCCAGTGACACACTCAGCAGCCAGAGCCTCCTGGTAGGACCCTCCACTTCCCAACCATCCCTGAGCCACCACAACACCTCACAGTGTCTCTACTGGGAGTTTGGAGCATGGGGCTTATGGAAAGTGAGAGTGTTCTTTGAAGCAGAACTATTACTTTTAGATCAAATCTCTAAATTAGATGTTGTTGTTGCTACTGGGGATTGAACTCATGACCTCACATTTGCCAGGCAGGCGCTTATGCCACTGAGCTAAATCCTCAGCCTCTCTAAATTTAAACCTTGCAAAAATTGTGGATTTCTCCTGCAGTTAGAAAGGCTGGTCTGCTGTTATTCTCAAGGGAGGCCACCCTTTCCAGCTAGGCAGATAGGATGGAGGCATGGCTCCCTGCGAATTACTTTTTTGCCCTTTGCTTTTCCTGTTATTCCTGCCCCCAGACCATGTGTCCTTTGTGGTTCTCCAAGCTGCTTAGGATCACCAGTGCATCCACATTGGTTCCCAGAGTCCTTCCTCCCTCTCATTCTCATCACATTTTCCCTTCCACTTCCCCATCCTTCTCTGTCTCAGGGCCACAGAAGGGTTTATCTGTTTGGCCACCATGCCCTCATTGCCCCCCATCAACTCCACCTGTGTTTAACAAAGATACGACACAGTCACCATGTACCAGCTGGTGTCTCCTTTATGATTACTCTGTGTTGGATGTAAGGATATCGGAATTCTACCCTCACTTGGACACAGTGCTTGTTTCTTGGTAAAGAAACTAGACTATCACACGAAGGCAGTGCACCCCAACTGAAGTTCAAGCACTGAGCCACAGATCAGAGTGGGACAGCTCATTCTAATGAGGGGAGACTTTTGGATGGAAGGTGCCATCTGTGAGCAGGACACCAAAGCCAGTGAACCAGAGAGAGAGTCAGGCCAAGGACTCAGTTAACAAACATCTAAGGAACAAGCAATAGGAGTCAGCTCCTGGTGGGAGGGGTGCAGGAAGCAGGTGGGAGACCAGAGAGGGCCCGGGCCCCACATTCTGGAGCACTGAGTGCGCACTCTACGGGGGTCAGCGGTGGGAGGAGTAGAGCTGACAATGGATGCGGAAAAAAGAAGGTGAATGCAGCAACTTTTAAAACCTAAATCACTGTTGATTCACAGATTTGGACAAAGCTTTTTCCCACACTGAAAACACTCCCAGGGGCAGGGGAGATTGTGGGAATGCTCTTTGCTCTCTTAAAAAAAAAAAAAAAAAAAAAAAAAAGCTGTGCCACTGGAGAAAGCTGAGGAGCTACCCCACACTGAAGAGTGGAGGAGGAAAGTGACAGACAGGAAGTCCTCAGATCTGCAGGCTGGCAGGACATGGAAATCAGGGATCTGAGAACAGAGAGCCAGACCCAAACCAAGGCAAGGATTATTTGGCAGGGTCAGCCTCCAGCACAAAATGCGTCACTATGGAGAGTAACTAGCTGCTAAGTGCACACTGGTGTCAGCCAGAGGGAGGTGGCTTCATTTAGAAGGAGAGGCGGCCAGCGCTCCATAGCAGAAGGCACTCACTGATCAGCTCTGGCTGGGAATCATGGCACTTCCAAGCTGGTTATTCAGCCCAGGGGAAAGAGACCCAGACAGGAGCCTGGTGCCCTAGGCTGCACCATGGCATTTCCTATTCTCCTTCAGAAAGAGCAGCTGCGGCCAGGATTCCTGCCATCTGTGGCTTGGTCCGTGGATTCAGGGAGAGCAGGCAGTGCAGAAGGCCTGTGGCTGTGAGACTGAAACTCGCTGGCCCTCTGGAGAGGTCACCATACAAGGGACAGCTCCTCCTCTGTGGGACGGTGTCCAGGGCTTCCCTGCGCTGCTCTCTGACTCAGCTTCTCTTACTCCTCAGATAGTGCCGTGTGCAAGAAGTGTCCTGGGGACCAGTGGCCTGGAGTGGGGAAGAGCCAGTGCATCCCCAGAACCCTTGACTTCCTGTCCTACCACGAGCCCCTTGGCATGGTGCTAGCCGCCTGCACAGCCCTGCTCTTCCTCCTCACCCTGGCTGTCCTGGGCATTTTCATTCGGCACCACCACAGCCCCATCGTCCGTGCCAACAACCGCCGGCTAAGCTACCTCCTGCTGGGCGCCCTGGCATTCTGCTTCCTCTGCCCCTTCCTGTTCCTGGGCCACCCGGGTATCATCACTTGTGCTATGCGCCAGGCAGCCTTTGGGGTCACCTTCACAGTCTGCGTGTCTACTGTGCTGGCTAAGACAGTTGTGGTGGTGGCCGCCTTCCACACCACACAGCCGGGCATTCACATCAGCAAGTGGGTGGGGTCCCGGCTCCCTAGCACCATCCCCAGTGTCTGTTCCCTGATCCAGGCTGCCTTGTGCACCCTCTGGGTGGCCCAATGGCCCCCGAGGCCTATGAACTCCACGGAGCCCGGGGCCAGCATCACGGTCAAGTGCGACGGGGGCTCCGTGGCGCTGTTCTACACCATGCTGGGCTACTTGGCTTTGCTGGCTCTGGTCAGCTTGCTGGTGGCCTTCCCTGCCCGCCGGCTGCCTGACACCTTCAATGAGGCCAAGCACATCACCATCAGCATGCTGGTCTGCTCCTGTGTTTGGGTGTCCTTCATCCCTGCCCATGTGAGCACCCAAGGCAAAGACACGGTGGCCGTGGAGGTCTTCGCCATCTTGGCATCAGCCGCAGGCCTCATGTGCTGCCTCTTCTTCCCCAAATGCTACATCATCCTTCTCCACCCTGAAAGGAACACCAGAGGACAAGTGCTTGGCAGACAAGATCCCAAGTGAGCAACACAGATGTGGACCACAGGGTGGCCACTTTCTTGTGATGCCCTCCCTGAACTTCCCACCACAGGGATGCTCCTTCCTCTGAGCCTGTCACACCATCTGGGCCCTGCGGTCACCAGACCTGGCTCCCAACCTGGCTCTTTTGCATGCTAGCTGTCAGAACCTGCGCATGTCATTTAATCCCTCACAGCCCGACTGTCCTCCGTCTAAGATGCCCCTGAGCCTTTCTCTGAGGGCGAGTGAGGATGAAATGAGAAAACGTGTGATGTCACAGCACAGGTCAGACACTGAGAAAGTGTATCTGTGAAAACCTCTGGTGGTGACTTTTCACAAATAAGGGAATAAGTGACAAGGGAGAAGAACAATTGCCCCGGCCTCATCATGCAGGTGGACCAGCAGGCGAACAAGACTTCAACAGTAGCTCTAAGGCTTAATGGGATGCATGATTGGGACAATTTCTGCGGTTTCTCTGTAACTTTCTTCCTTTGTCTGTAAAGGAGACCAGCAACAACTTTGTGGGATTAGCGATGAGGAGCAAATGAATTAATATTAAACATTTAGGGTAGTCTGGGGTGCATAAAAAGCACTAATCAACAATCGGCTCAATAATTCAATAAAATCACACATAGTGATAAACTTAGGTCTCTTGATTCGAGGAAACACTGAAACTTCTAAAAGTCCCTGCCCCTAAGGAGGGTCCCACGAAAAGGCTTTGGAGAGAGGCTACAAAGAGCCTGGGACCTCACATTTCCAGCCTGACCTGACTTGAGTAGACCAAACACACCAGTCAGAAAAACTTTTCTTAACTACCTGTACCTACTCAGGGCAGCTGAAAACTTTGAGCAGCTGAGAACAGGTGGCTACCACAGACCCAGTGTGGTGACCCCAGGGGAGAGTGCAAATGAAGCTCCTTCCCCTCCCTGAGAGTGGAAGGATGCTAATGAGGCCCAGGAAACACGGGATCATGAATATGAGGGTATGATGGGCTGCTCCTTGGGCAAAGGGGTGACTGATGGTGTCGCACTAAATGTATCCAAGGACCCAGGTCTCGGCAGTTCTGTGTTCACGACACATTTTAACAATCTGCCAAAGGGCCAGGGGTGTCAAGGATGTGGCTCCAAATGCTCAAAATGAAGCCACCAAAAACCAAGGATATCAATAAATCAGACTGGTTTAGAGATCAGAGGGCTTGTAAGCATCTTCCAGCTGAAGGCAGGACTCTGAGAAACCTGTCTTAGGACCTGAGCAGCAGAAATAGAAAAGGAAGAGACTGAACAGACTAATGAAACCAAAATGGGAATCCCAATGTAGGCACAAGGTTTAAGAACAACATGGATACAGGCAAGATGGTTCAGACAGACTTTAATCAGAGCAGACCCATATCAAAGCTTTTGATCCATTCATATATCAGCACATGGAACACTGTAGAGTTCTGATTTCAGGTTGTGAATCTGGTCATCCTCACCAAGTCCCATGCCAAAGGGTTTCACAGGATGTTTACCAGATAGAGAAGCAGTCAGTATTCTAGCACCCAGCCTGAGGAAAACTGGAGAAACAATGCTCTTTCCTGTACTGCTATGGTTTGTGTCTAGGTGGCTCCCCAAGCTTCATGCAGTCATGGAAGCAGCTGAATCTAGCATTTGTGACTGGTTCGTTGTCTAGTGCTGGGACTGGTGATGCGAGTGGTGCACCCACCAAAGAGGGGGAGCCAACATACAACGTAAGGTGGGAAGGAGGCATGTTTTCCCTCTCTTTTGCCCTTTTTGCTCTTGCTGTTTGCTGCCACCAATAACAACTGCCCCTTAGCCAGGACATCCTGCCTTTGGGGCAGCTGAGTGTGGACTGAAACCTTCAAAAAATCTATAAGCTAAATAAACTCTTCCATCCTAATTTTGGGCTTCAGGTATTTTGTCTCAGCAATGAGAGAAAAGTAACCAAGACATGTACCCTATATTTTTGAGTGCTGTTTATCCAGAATAGTCCCTGTGGCATTTTCTGTGTACTAATGAAGTAAACCAGCTCTTCAGAGCCTGTGGTTCACAGGATGAGTATATATATATCCCAAAAAGCAATTTTCAGAAATTCCCTATTTACAAAAATATGCATTTTATCTGACATGATTTCATCATATATTGGTATAAACTGATTTGCTATTGGTAGTGGCTTTAAAAACATTAGCTACCTGTACCGACACAAATCATGCAACCCAGATTCTGGAGGGGAGCTATGTTTCTTTAAAACAGCAATCATTTTAGTTTTGTAATGTAAACAATCACACTAAAAAAAAAATGGGCTTTTTCCAGATTAGTTCCTGAAGTCAAGTTTCATTAAAGCAAAATACACTTTTATATGTATTGGATCCTTTCTAGGGGTATGCTTCAGAATTTTTACCCTACTATGTCATCTGCGGTAAATGGTAACTCTTCCTGATACTTCCCTTAGAGTCATTCTTAGAGTCATCCTCAGAATTCAGAGACCAGCCCCTGTGTTTAAAGTTTCATTCCATCTACTACTAAAAATATTCCCAATTATAACCCAACATGTTTTGCATTGTGTCCATCAGCTGGAAACCTGAGTCTAACTCATTTTGTGTTCACATCTACTCGGTTAGGTACCTGAAAGTATGAAGTCCTCTTTCGTTCACAGTAATTGTTCTATTTAATCCAGAAAGATTTAAAAGTGTGTAATCTGTGTCTTCCCTGTTAGCTACAAAAAATACAATAGCTCAGATGTTATCGAGCAAAACTGTGCTGAAGACGTTGTGGTACAGTATGCACTTACTGGGCAGAGACTGTCACAGAAAACCTCTCCTCTGCACATAGATCCAAGCTCAGCAGATTCCTTTTGTATTTACTGTCATTTGGGAAACCCACATTCAAATGTTGATTATGTCTTTAGAAATGCCAGTATCTACCTGGAGGAGATTATTCAAATTATAGTTGCCTTTTTAAGACTGCTTTGAGAGAGATGACATTGCCTCGGTGATTTCCTTAACCAATTTTCGAACATGGTCTGGAGAGGGAAGACCATTCTGTCCCAAATAAGAGAATCTGTACACAGAAAAGATTAAGAGCATCTGTCCCACAGAAAGCCAGCTGTGACTCCAGGGGCTCTATTTGTGGTAGAAACTGCTGTCAGCCCAATTGTTCTCCTCTTTCTCTCCCATACCTCAGTGGTGGCTGAGTGGCTGTCCAGCGGTAGAGTATTTCACCACCCTTGAAATGAGATATGATCCCCAGCTCACTTCCCACCTTGAGGTGAGTGGAAGTGGTCAGTGTTGTACCCAGAGAACCGTTGAGACCCGGGGTGCTTCTGCTCCCTGCTGTATCCTTGACCCTCTGCCCAATTTGACCATGCACATAACAAGAAAGCCTAGGTCAGTCACCTTTGCCACTGAAGCACAAGGGCAGCCTTCAATGACATCAGAGCAAGACACACAGGTAGTACAACCTGATCTTGGGACCCTGAAATTTGAGTTTTATAAAACTTTCAAGTCATGCAGTGTGATTCTCCTTTGCAGTTCTTTTAATCAATTAAAAGTGTGAAATCTGTTCTTAGCTCACAGACTATTACAAAGCCAGTGCTAAGCCAGATTCACCCTGAAGACTTGGTTTTGCCAGTGTTGTAGAGGATGCTGGCCCCGAAAGACTGAAGGAATGAGGGTCATTGGATACCGGTGGACCTGGGCTACGAATCAACCTGGACCAGGCAGCACCTTGGACTCTCACATGAAAGAGAAAGTGCGCTCCATTCTGTCAGCCTCCTTGCAGTTAGTCTTCTCCCGTGGCAGCAACTCAGAGTTTCCCTAACTCTGACACAGTCTGTCACTCACAGTTAAGCACTCACAGCTCCCTTCCACAGTCCTCACTACCATCCTTGTAAATATGCAAGGAGAGGAAAGCACGTCACCCAGATCTGCCTCGCCACTACCCCCTCCAAAACCAGAGGGAAAAGCGTGGGCCAGGCCCTCCTTCATCTCCTTGTTCCAAAGACTGTAGATGAGGCGGTTGAGCATCGGTGTGACCACAGAGTAGAAGACAGACACCACCTTGTTGAAGTCGATGGAGGAAACCACCTTAGTGTTTCCTCCAACATGAAGAAGAGTGTGTCATAGAAGAAGCCTACAACAGTCAGGTGAGCAGCGCAGGTGGAGAAGGCCTTTCAGCACTTGGCCGCAGGCCAGATGTGCAGCAGGGTCCAGACCATGTTGCCATAGGACACAGTGATGACTGTCTAGGAGACCAGGAGCACAGCCAGAGACACCAGGAAATCCACAGTCTCCTTCAGGGTGACATTGGACCATGACAGGGCCAGCAGGGGGGAAGCATCACAGAAAAAGTGGTCAACAATATTGGGGCCGCAAAATGTCTGCTGAGACATGAGGTAGACGGGCAAGATGGGTGTGAGGAAGCCTAAGAGCCAACAAGCGGCTGCCAGATGGAAAGGACACCAGGGACCCATAGTGCAGAGGAACACAGATGGCCACATAGCGGTCATAGGCCATGGTGGCCAGGAGGAAGCAATCAGTGGCCCCAAGGAAAGTGAAGAGCAAGAGCTGGGACATGCAGCCAGTGTAGGATATGCTCTGGCTTCCATCCGCCCCGATGAAATCAGCCAGCATCTTGGGAACCGTGACCGAGGTGTACCAGATTTCAAGGCAGGACAGGTGTGTCAGGAAGAAATACATGGGTCTCCGCAGCCGGTGGTCCACACCCACCTCTAAGAGGATGGCCAGGTCCTCTGCCAAGGTGGACAGGTACATGGCGAGGAAAAGCATGAAGAATAGGAGGTATGTTCCTTGCACCCCAGAAAAGCATGACAAACTCTGTCACCTGGGTCTGATTTGGGGTATGTGGCTGCATGGCTGAGAACAGAAACTCAGAATATCCACAGCCTCACAGTTCACAAAAGGTCAGAGGACCTGAGAGGATGCTGAACTAAAACAACTTCCACTGTGAGAGAGGGGAGTGAAGTCAAGACAGGGACCTGCCCATGAGAAT